GGATAACATGAGCACATTGGATTCTCAGTGCTGGGAAGTCTCCATAAAGCCACTGTGGAGCACTCCTGTGCTGATTAAAAGTCATTCATGATCTGAGCTTCAGATCAGTGCTGTGAGGTGAATTCAGTTGAATTTTTTTCCAATTATTCAGAAACTTAAAGTAGGTTTAAGCCTGTCTACATGCTGATGTTTTCATACCAGATCATCCAGAATCCAGCACCCACAGCTGTGCTTACTGAATGTGAGTTGGGGGCTGGATGCCTGAAGAGAGGAACGTGGGTTTCTATCTGCATTTGGTAATGTCATTTGCTTTCAGACAGCAAAACAGGGAGTAATTGATGGACAGCATGCACAGTATGAAGTCATTAAACGAGTACTATTCTGGGATGACATTTATCATCCTATTCTCTAGGGTGTTTTTTCTTTAATTTTTTTTTTTTGTCAGACCACCTCAGAGAGCAGCTACGCTTTACCAACATGAAGATCAGTCGTGAAATTACAAAAGCACACTGCAGCAAACCCATGAACCAGCTCCAGAATGCTGCCTTCTGCTCAATAAACTAGTACGAATTACACTCAGAATTCTAAGCAGGTTGGAAAAGATCCCTTGTAGATGGCAGGAAGGTTCTGCACTTTGGGGCATGCAGCCACCTTTATGACACTCCTCTGTTCTTGTTCCAAACTTACTGGGATGCACTCTTTGTTTTGGGATGGGTGCTTTGTTTTAAATACATTATGGAGAGCATGGTTTATAATCCTGCCTTTATTCATGCTCAGTTGATAATTGTAAGACAGTACAGCAGTTTGGTGGCTGGGTTAAGATTGTTTTATTTTTTTTTGCAGTTGCACAGCAGGTAAACATTTGTACATACAGATGTGTGACATTTTCAGATGAAAGCATACCTGCATTCAAACCTCAGAAAAACACACGGCAGTCTCCATGCCTTGAATCCTTCCCTCCACACACTCTCCCCTGAGCTTTAAGAGGTGCTTGCTTAACACCTGAGCCGTGGTCCCAAGTGTTACCAGACCTCCTCTTCACCGCTGGAAGGACAAGCACCATTGCTTGGCCCCTTCAGAACTTCCAGCTTACAAGATCAGCAGATGTACAACACAGCTTTTGGCTCAGGCTTTGCTCCCTGACCACCTTCAGAACTGGCAGTGGGGATGCAACGGGAGCACACTGCAGGGAAGTGATAGGAAAGGTCTGTTCTTACTGCTAAGTAAGCTCTAACTGCGTGAAACCTCACCCTCAACCAGGTATTCTTCCTCATGAAGCCACACATGAACGCAACAGGAGGAGTCCCTCAGGACCTTGTCCTGTCGCAGTTAGATATGCTCTGTGCTCACCTACACACACCCTACATCTCTTGACTGTTCAGCTTAAGAGATGCCAAGGGATAACAAAACATCAAAAAAAATAACTAAGATTCTGAGTGAGATGCAGATACCATCCTAACTGCAAGTGAAATCTGAGAACTTTTATCCTAACAGAAGAATAATATCAAAAGGTCCTCTTACCTGTGCTTCTACTGGCAGTGCTATTGCAAGCAGAAAGGTGGTTTTACTTAGCAACTGAAGATGGGGACATGCTGTCAGCAATTTAATAGCTTCCCCATTTATAAAAGACAATTTACTGGGGAAACTGAACCCCCAACAGTTCAAAACACAGAAGAAAGAAAAAGCCAGCAGCAGCTACATGAGCCTGGATGGAAGCAATGGGACAACAGGGTCTGCTGGCACTGTCCTGCAGTCCAGAACGACTGACAGCACATCCACCTTCTGTAGCACCATCTGCCACAGGCTTTGGTCCCTTTGCCAGAGAGCTCTTCCCGGCACACAAGCTCTCTGCTGCTAATGAGGAAGCATCTAGCAGGACAGGAACCTCAGCCGAACTCTGACAGCATCCCAATTAAGTTGAAAAAAGACCCAGACGCCAAATCTTGGACAAAGAAGCACATACGATCTTGACAAGAGATCAGGCTGGGCAGGCAGAAGGAAGCTGTTCAGAGCACTGAAAGGCAGCACACCAACAGCTACACGCTGCCAACTGTGAGAACTTGGCAGAAGGAGAGGAATGGAATTAATGTAAAAGTCTCCACATGATTCTATTCATTGATATGGATGATTCTGACAGTACTACCCAAAATTAATTGGATTTTCTTTTAATACAGTAAAAAGACTGAGTACTCAGTTTAAATCCTGAGATTTCAGCAAGGTGCTGCACACAGAGGTGAGCAGTATTCCCTCTGCACATTCTCTCTGGCACGTGTGACACAGCAGGCAATAAAATACTGTCAGCTGTATTGAAAAACCACCTGGAAAGATCGGGTTGTTCGAGTCGTGTTTGCAGAGCTGGTGTGCAAAGTCAGATACACAGAGCTGTGTAGTGCTGGCTGCTCTACAACCCAGCAGAACCAGCAGGGCCCGTCAGGTCGCTCTCCTGGGAGACAAAACTCACCAGCTTCTTTGCTAAGCGTCACTACAGGTGGGTTAGTGATGTTGCTACGGTGGACAGAAATGCTTCGCCGCTGCCTGATCCTTAGCCAGCTGGAGCCCTAACTGGTAGAAAATCCTACGTCCTTTCTTCCAGATGGGATCCTCAGCCAAAACACATTGGTTGGGAAATGCAGAAATCCGTAGGAAAGAGCATCTTCCAGGAGCATTTCCTGTTGAATTAGTATGGCGGCAGCAACGCAGGCAGCCAGGAAAGTCAGAACAGAGCCAGTGCCTATAGATACAAAAGCCAATCTTCCCAAATGCCTGTTGAAGATGGAAGAGAGAAAAGATACTTGAACTTAACAAATAGCTGACAAGAGTGGTGTGTAACTGGAATGCCAAATCATCACACTTGAAAATAACTTTCTTTGCAAAATAAGCCAACGTATACGTAGGTCTGTGAGTCACAGTTCTGAAACAGCACACAACTAACTTGTGAGGTTTGCTGATACAGGATGTTACAGGAGGTGATCTACCAATCAAAGCCCATGAGAAAACAGGCACCGCATCCCCATTATGACTAAAGCAATCTCTGACTTGGAGAATAACTAAACTGCAGTACAACAAAAGACATGCACTGGTGAAACCTCCTGTACTTCCAGCAGCTTCACTCGCTCCCTGCACAACAAGGGACCATGAGCACCCCAGCAACTGGGATGAGAGGCAGATCCGAGTCTGAGGAAGCCTTGTGCTGCTCTGCCCTCGGCAGAAATGACGCATATTAAAACTAATTCATTCATGATTCTAATCTGCCCAGTTTCTGAGCAAAACCAAACATTTGCACAATATGAAACAGTCAAGCACAAACCAGATTAAAAAGTGAAGAAAACTACAGGTTCTTATTTCTTCTTGTTGGCTATTTCCATTTACTTCATTCACAATGCTTTGTCAGCACAGGGCGTTCAACCTCCGCTCACTAGAGTCTGCTCAAAAATATACAACAAACAAAAATCAGCCCAAGGTCGTTCAACATGAGACAAAGCAAAAGAAAGTCAAGTGATGTTTCTGGTGCTGAAAGGCAGTATTTTCTGGGAACAAAACACGTAGCATCACACATCGATACCTTTGTCGTCCTTTTATTTCATCACCCGTAACCTTTCTTACTCAACAAGCTATGATACCACAAGCTGCTGCAAACATTGAACTAGTAGCACCATCGCTGTTTCCGTTGTTGTTTTTAAGCAAAGAAAAAGTCACGTTTATTTTGTAGTAGCAATAGTTTCTTTTTTATTTTTAATATACTTTAGGAAACAATATACAAAGCTGAGCTTTGCCACCATTCTCAAACGGCGGGTTGCTCCAATTACACAAATTCAGCGTTTTGTGATGGTTAAGAACAGCAGTCAGCACCAGACTTGAACAGTTAGCTACAACACAAACATCCTTCGAAATGAAATGTCATAATATCAAGACAAGTAAACCAGGAGTTAACATATGACAACTGTTGGAGGAGGTGTCTTAAATCATTCTTGTTGAATTTTATATTTTGTTAAATATTTTATACACAATTTCCTGTTTACAAGTTTTAAACAAAACCTCCCTTGAGGAATTATTTAAGTACAAAAACGTTCAACAAGAACAGTTCTAATAAAGAGTCCCCAAACAGACCAAAATTTAATGTGTTGACCAAAGGAAATGAAAACCAGTGTTTCTTTGTTTTAACATGTTTATTACAACAGATACAATTCACATCTGACTAGCTTCTTTTTTTTTTTTCCTCTTTCCCCTCCCACAACCATGTTAACATGTTCATTGGGCTATTTCTTTATAATTGAGCAAGTAATGTACTTTCAGCACACATGCCCAGCAGTACTATAAGTCCATTCTTACAGGGTGCAAATGGAAATACGTTTCAATAATTTATACAAACAAGTGGGTTATGCTCAATCACTGCAATTTTAAGCTACTGTACACAGGAATGAAAAGATTATAGAAAAAGTGCCATAGCAACAGTGCCTTAAGAAAAGAGAAAATTAGAAGCATTAAAAAAAAATGGATAAAATCAGATTTAGGATTTCACAGGGAAATGGAACACAGAAAATGAGAAACATTTCTCTGTAAAACAGAAATGGAGAAGCACTGCTCTTGATTCGGTGCAAGTGTGGAAACAGTTGTTTCATGGTATTTTTGTACATTACCCCAATTGTTGCAGCCTTAGACACGGATCGCCTGGCGCTTGCATTGAATTTTAGGAAATGCAAGATTTCTGAATGATAAATTAACTAAAAAAAAAAAAAAAAAAAAGAAAGCTAATTTTGCAGACAGGTTTACATGTAAAAGGCTAGGTATTTAGCCACCTCAGCATCGATTAGTTTTGGATGTCTAAGCTCTGATACACATGGCTTCCCATGGCTTCACTCTACAAAACATATTTACAACGTGAAGAATACATCTACAATAAATCTACATTTCAAGGGTTTTACAAATCATTCTTGTATCTTTCCCCTGAATTTGACTCCCTCCTGTCCCCTTCCCCATGACATCTTTTTTTCTGCCCAGCTCAACGGTCCAAAGTCTACTCAAATGCAGCTCAAAAGTGTTAAGACTGGGCATCAGTTTAATAGTTCCTGTACTCAAAACCATGTGCAATTGTTTACAACTTTTCACACCATGAAGGAATTCTGATTCTTTAGCTTTTCAAGTTCTTTAATTTGTTGTCTCAAAAATAGTATCCTGCAAGAGAAAAAAAATTAATTAGTATACACATTTCCATCACACAGAGATGCACAGAAATGTGCCTAGAATTCCACTGAAAAATGCCAAGCTCCTCAGCTCTATTAAAAAACTTAAATATTTTTAATTAATTCTTAATATATTCCATCAGTCAAACACATTCCCTGTGCAGGCACAGAGATCTGCACTACTTGGTTCCTTGATTTAGAAAATTAACTTTCATTATGACTGAAACACAGCGACATTCAAGCCTACCATTCATCCGAACTTCACTTCAAGAGAAAGGACGCACTAGAAGAGTACAAGGAATATTCTGAACAATGGTATTACATCTGTGCCATGCAGTTTTCCAAACTGTACGACTCAAAACACTCTGAAGTTGTCACCAAACGCGGAGCTGCTCTGTTCACAGCCCAACCCCAGGACCTTTGGTGGAAAAGAGGTTAAAGGCTTCTTCTCACAGTCGTGTCTTCTATCTAAATTTGCCCGTTCTTGGAGACACAACGCCATTAGAAATGCAAGCCGTCGTCCTCACACCTTTCTACTTATTTCCTCCCCATATGCTGGAGGATTTTATACTCGGCAGATTTAGATAGCGGTGCAGGCAGAAGAGTTACATATGCTTTTGTTTCCCTAAAAAAAATTATCCCCATAATACAGCCTGACGCATTTTAGTTTGAACCAGCCACGTACAGAGCCATAAATTCATTTCATATGTAATTCAGCAAACAAGTTTTAAACAAAGAAGTTTTCTTCTCAGCATCTCTTCTTTCTAGCATTTCTCTCTGTGACTGGCAGAAGAAAAAACATTCTAAAGGCAGCTTCTAGTCAGGGTAAATTCCTACCTCAAAGTATTTCATCATTAAAAGACATTTAATGAAAAAAAGCTGCAACAACATGCAACTGAGAAATCAATTACATTTCTAAGTAAAATATTCCTTCTACTGAACTGGCATAAACAGTTGCTTCAATTAACAAACATATGGTTTAGACAGTTTCCCAGAATTTGTGATGAATATTTTGTAGCAACTTTACCCAGTGTTGAAGCGCAATGCAAGCATATGAAGAAAACTTTAAGAAAAAGCTGAAATACTGCATAAATATTCTGCTAGTCCAGAGCAATTTTGATACAGATAGCATGTCCACTTCAGCAGACTTTTTATGAATACTTCTCAAATATATCCTTAGTTCAGCTGGTTGTGGATGCCCCATTCCTAGCAGCATTCAAAGCTAGGCTGGATGTGGCTCTGGGCAGCCTGGTCTGGTGGTCAGGCGGCCCTGCCTGTAGCAGGGGGTTGAACTAGATGATCACTGTGGTCCTTTTCAACCAGGCTATTCTATGATTCACTAAAAGGGAATTTTCTACTGAAAATTAGGTAAAAATATATAAATCAGGATAGACAAACTGAACATAAACACACTAAGATCAAAAGGTGAAGGCATAGGAAATCTATCCGCCAATGCAGAGTCTCATTTTGCATGCTGCCAGTTATGATTAAAACAGTATACTTTGAGTTCTGTTTTACAACAAATTTAAGTAGATCTATTCTGTGCAAATTATATCATCATTCAAGTTGATTGGCTTGATATTTGATATTGGCTTTGTGAAGGCCCTCCCTCTTGCCCCACAAACTGTTACTTATGCCATGTCTTTGGGATGGCAGCAAAAACAAAAGAAACTTGCTATCACAGAGTCAAAGTCAGAGAAATCATTATCCATTGATGGTTTAAAGACACAGAGTGTACAGCAAACAAAGCACCATTTAGCAAACTGAACAATGGCACCTGATGTAACATCTGATAAAATTGCCTATCAATACAGAATAGTTTACTAAGACATTTTATTTCATCTGTAAGAAACAAAGCTGCTGATTAAATATCCTACAGGAATTGCAACTTATGTTATGAAGCTATGAACAAATAAAGATTTTAGAAACAATAACAGCCACACTGTTAACGACAACCTCTTTGACTGACTCAAGAAGTCTGTTTTCCCTGAAGAACTGTTTCCCTGAGAACTCCTAAGACCTTCTCTAATGTCTCTTACCTAACCAACAAACACTGGTTTTACCTTGATGTGTATCAGAAAGAATTCTTTAAACCTGTTCCAGCTTTAGACCCAATGTCTCATTCAAACTGTAGCATTTAAGAACAGTATAAACGATGTAGACGCGCATTTATGATCTCTGCATCACGTATTGAAGGATATTATAGATTTATTCTAAACCAGTGTACCTGGAAATACATTTCTTTTCCATCTGTGTAAACATATCTGGCCCTATTCATTGTCAAGATGTATCTGTGTAGAAAACAGGTAGGCCGTAGACAGGAAAGACAGCTTTCAAATTTTGTTAACCATCAGCATACTCATAAAGCCATCAACAAATATTGCTCAGACAAAACAATATCAGTAGGCAATTCTAATAGCACCTTGAAAATCACCAAATTGCTATTCTGAAAACAAACACGCTTACCTTTGCTCACGCAAAGTTGCTTGAATTTCACATACTCGAACTAAAGATCTTAAATTCTTTAATTCAGTACAAATTTCTGACATATGAACACTTCCCATGTTATGGGCTTCCTCACGTAATCTTGATGCCTACAACAGTGAAATAGAAAAGTCAGAGTTTTGAGTCAAGCATTGGAAACAATGGGCTGCAGCCACAAGACTGCTTGGTGAGTGCATCTCAGAACAGCAAGCACTGTAACTTCTACAGCGCTGTGACTTCTGAATGTACTGTAAATCAAATCAAAAGTACATTACAAACGTCATGAGTGCTCTACAAATGTCCACTTAGAATCAGAAAAGAACAATGTTGGATGTTAATATGTCACATAACCGATGCTGGAAGGGGCGATTTAGATTTCCTTAACCCTAACAAACCTTTCTTCGACCATCTTGAAGATGGCACACAACAGGGCTCACGACCAACTTTCATTCCTCATCCAAGCCTTGCTGACAAAAATAGCTGAATGTCATTTTCTTTTCAGCAACTTTATGAAGAATTTCATCACCCTCTTCAGGTGTTCTCTTGTAAACAAACTCCTTTACTTCAATATTTCCACTACTCAAGCAGAGATGAGCAATGTGCAAATTCAGAAGGAATGGCCTTTCTCCACAGCAGGCACATTTCTTACCATTCCTACCATTTCTTGTCACTGAACTGGATATGTGACTCCAGTTAACTTGGGTGTGACTATTCAAAACTGGTTTACTCACAACACTTTCACATGATGTAATACAGTATGTAAACACTCAGCACATTGGTAAGAGCATCCAGCAGGGTACATGACTTCACAGCATTAGCTGTTTTGCTTCCATTTATTACTGATATTGGAGGGGAAAAAGTGACCCAAAAAATGGTATATATTCAAATTTCCTACATTGGGAGATATTCTCAATTCAGCACACAGTGAAAATAACACTGTCAACTTAAAATCTCCAACTATCAGGCCAAAGCCACAGCAAGAAATGACTGTGCTCATCATTTCCACATTTCATGGCAATGGTGGTTTGACTCAATACAGTTTGTCAATGTCTTAAAATAGTATTTAAAAATTAATAGAGGAAAAAAACAAACCAACAAACTAAAAACCCAAAACAGAAGCAACAGAAACAGCGCTTCTAAGAGCAATCCTGCAAGTTACTTGCCATAAGCTTCTACTGTAGGCTTGAGGCAGTGTGCAGTTGTTCTTCAGAAGGCCAAAGTAAGATGGGCTAAGTAAGATCAGTATCTGACCTAGGCCATCAAACTGGATTGCCTTTGACAGAAAAGACTTCAACTGGACACAATAACCAATATAGTTTCTTTGAATAACACATTCTAAGTAGCTGACGTGCACCCAGTTTCCCTATATTACTAGCATGTACTTATAAGGATGATGAAGAGTATGTGAAGAGGAAAAAAAGATTAAAAAAAAACAAAAGGCTTACATTCAGTCTGAGCTCTACATCAACTTAAAAACTGGATCCAACAAACGAGGCACAGTTCTTTTTTCACTGTGAAGAGCCAACAACTCAGTGACTCAAACTGTGGATCGCTTTCAAATAGTTTAACACTGTCACCTAATTCTTCACATTTTTCACGTAACAAAGATTTTAAGAAAAGATCTGTTAAAATTTATGTTGTTTGTAAATTTCAATCAAACTTTGTCAGTAAGAGAAACTATTTACAATGATGACTGTTCTTCTATTGGAGAGGATTTCAAAAGCACAGGTACATGAAAGTAAGACAAAGTACTCAGCTGGTAAACAGCCATCACACATGAGACGTGGAGGTCTGGCCTAACCTCCCACCTCTCCCCTTTTTCTGGCTAAGGACCAGCACATTTACCTTAAAGATCCTTCTAATTTCTAGAAAAGGCAACGTGGCTAACAAAAAAGAGTTTTTAAGCCACCCATTCAGCATTCCCCCAAGAAACAGAGCACAAGTGTACTCACCTGCTTTTCTGCATGGTCTGCAGGCCAGCCTTGAACATGCTTTATAAGGTTTTCATTGAAGTGTGCTGCTAGCGTAGGTGTTAATGAACAGGTGGGTCGTACAGATGGATTCTGTGGTGCAGGTGTTGAATTTGATGCACTAGAGCTAGAGGTATGATTTGGACCTGGTGATGGGCTTCTTTGACTACTGGAAGAAAGAAATGTTATAAAGTAAGACTCTAAAAACATGTAAACACAGAAAAACTAACACAAAAAATCCCCTGCTTCCAGCCACATAAAGCATATAAATCAAGAGAAGGTAAATACTTCTGGTATATCAAACATGAAACACTTATCCTCAAACCTCTTAGGTGCATGGGAATGGTTTGAGTGCTACATGGCAGAGTTTTTCCGGTTGTTGGGGTTTTTTCTGTTGTTGTTTCTTTTTAATCTACCTAACTTAAAGAAACGTAGATTGCGGCTATATTTTAGTGTCACGTAATTATTAAGCACAAAGAGTGCTGTCCCAGTCTAAAAATATAACTGTATGGACTTCACAAGTTTAACCATTTTTACCAGTGCCAAAAAGCAAATGCCTTAAGTGACACTTAGATTTTGTACATCCTCACTTCAGGTACTGAAGAGATCAGAAGCTGTACAGCAGCAGTACATTCTGATTGCTTTACTTGAGCAAATTCAAGTAAACAATATTCACACTGTCAATCATTTGCTGGAGAGTTTGTTCACAGAAGGAAAAAAAAATAAAAATTTCCACCACCATCAAAACTGTTCTATTCCCTTCAACAAATGAAGGATCAGAATCATACAACCACTGAGGCTGGAAAAGACATTCAAGATCATAAAAAGCCCAGTTATCCACTTAACACCATGTCCCTAAGCATGGCATCCACACGTCTCTTAAATGCTTCCAGGGATGGTGACTTCCAGTTCCCTCAGCAGCCTGCTCAGTGCTTAAGTGACTTTCTTCCATAAATAAATTATTCCTGATATTCAACTTAAACCTCCTCGTGTGCAACTTGAAGTGGTTGCCTTGTATCCTACTACCAAGATTTGCCTCATCCCCGCAAGTGCTGCTATCCAGGCGATCTGATCTTCTAGAAGAACTTACCCTTGGATGGGCAATAATGCAGGCTGGGAAAGCTTAACAGCTGAAGTTTCAGCATGTGCCCTTTTTCACTCCTTTATCCTCTTACCAAAACAAGGTTTCTGCTTCCTTGTATCCCCTTCTAGTATTTTCCTGATCGCTCCCCCTGCCCCTTCACTCACAGAGTGGAGCTCTGCTCTTGTGATTTCCTAAGAGGCAGGATAGGGCCAGCTAAAGCATGTCAGTATGGACAAGGACAGGTCAGGAAGACAACAGACTGCCTCTGTCCTCACCAGCCTCTTAAGGGAGCAGCAAACTTGAGCACAATGAGAGTCTGCAAGTATTACAAATAACAACTACCGTAACTCATCAAGTAACCTGAGGACTGACACAACATCTTAGCACAGTGCAACTATCTTCACAGTCCACTGCCCAGAGTTTTGCCCTAATCACTCACACTTGCACAGTACAGCAGTTTTCCGAACAGTCTACAAATTAGGTACAGCACGCTGCTGTACAGCAACAAAGACTTTTGCTCCACTCCAGAACTTCCTTTGTTGAACCTCATTCCTTTCAGTGCCCCCAAACTTTTTAAAAAGCTTAATACATTAAAAACAATTATGCAGAAAGATTTGGAAAGATTCGTTCTTAGAATTATATACACAAATCTCCTCTGATTTCAGGCAGCAGAAGTTGTGTGAAAAAGTCATAACTGGAAAAAATATATATATTTTTTGCTATGTATTCTCTTCAGTAATTGGCCTAACCACTTTACAACCACTTAAAAGTGCAAGCACTTAACATTAGAAACATTCTGTTGATGAGGAGAACCGGCATTTAGATTTTGAAGCTGGAGTTGAAACTAATCAAGAATGTGAAGGGCAAAAAGGGCTGTAGATGCACAGCAGAAGAAAGACTAAGACAGGTGGGGCTGCCCTTCTCATGTGCCTGAGTGCATCAGCAGAGACAAAACAAGGGAAGTATCAGGCTGCAACAGAGGAGTAAGTTAAGGAGCAGTTAAACCAGACAGCACGCACTAAAGGGTAATGATGGACCTGGCAAGTATGACTGAGATACTGTATCACGTTGAAGCATCACGGTGAGAAGACAACTGTATTGAGAATGGGGAAAAAAGCAAATGTTACAGTCATCTACAGCAAGCCAAGGAGCATGGACACTACAGCCTGTTGACCTAACCACAGTCACTGTAAAACCTATGGAACAAGTCTTCCTGGAATCCACTTCCAAGAACATTAAAGGCTAAAAAGCAAAAATAGAGAGCCAGAACAGATCTGGCAAGGACAGATTATGCCAAACCAACCTCAGAGGAAGGGGAAAGCAGTAGCGATGTCTTCAACAAGGCCTTTGACATGGTTTCTCCATAGTTTTCTTATCATCTAACTCCTCAGTCATCCATGTCCATACATCATGTGTAAGGTGAATGAAAAGCTGACTGGATTGCTGGGCTCAAAGTGTCAATCAGCAGTACAAAGTCAGCAGTACAAAGTCCAGGTGAAAGCCAGAAACTAATGCTGTCCTTTGCTGATCCACAACTCGGGGGGAGAGGGGGGTCAACACTGTTCAGTGTCATTATTTACAACACAGATGCTACTCCAGAGTGCATCTTCAGTGGGTCTGCAGATCACACCAAACTGGGAGGAGCAGTCAACACATGGGAGGGCAGATTGTTATTCAGAGGGATGGGAATAGAGCAGACAAGAATCAATTTTTAAAGAAGGCGGATGCAAAGTCCTGCGGCTCAGGTGGAATAATCCTCTGCAGCAATACTGGAATAACCCCACAGAAATGTAACAGACTGGGCATTGAGTGGTCAGAAAACAGATTTGCAGAAAAGGACCTGAGGATCCTGGCAGACAAGTTAAATGCAAGTCAGGAATGTATTCCTGTGGCAAAGCAGGCCAAGCATATGCTGGGCTGTATTAGCAAGAACATGGTTGAATACAGCATTCCTTCTCTTTGTTCAGAGCTTGTAAGATACACAGTACCTGGAGTGCTGTGTAGTAGGGAGCTCAAAACCAGGCAAAAAAAGCTGCCATACCAAAGGAATCCAGCAGAGGACCACAGAGCTGTTAAGGGGGCTGAAGCACATGCTATTTCAGGAGAAGCTAGAGGAACTGGATTTGTTCTGTCTGGAAAAAAAAAAAGAGGCTGGAAGAAAGAGCTGAAGGATCTTAATATCTTCAGCTATCTACAGGGAGAGCAGATAGAGCCAGGATCCTCCCAGAGAAGCACAGTGATAAGCCAAGAGGCAGAAAACAAGTTGAAAAAATGGAAAAAGAGAAAAAAATATATATCACTGTAAGAGTAGTCAAACATTCAGAAGAGATGCTCAGAGCCTGCAAAATCCCTTTCTTCAGAGATATTCAAAGGTCATTTTGGTTCTAGTTTGAGTTTGAACTTGGATTAGATCATAACCAGAAGTCCCTACCAACCTAAATTATTCTATGATTTTATGCATCCATACAGCATCAGCATACTGATGGCTTAGAGAAAGGCTATGTTGACTAACTAAGCAGAACTGACACATGATCTTCAGTATCTATTTAAGCTTCAGTTGCAGTGGAATCAAAGTATCCCTGTGACTTGCCTTCTCATTTACCATCCCAACTTTTGACTCCTACATAACGAGTAGAAATCTCTTCAACATACCACAAATGTTTCAAGGAATAACTAAAATCTGCAAGCTTCTGAAAAATAAACGTGCATCTTAACTATGAATAAAACATACTGTCCTAAAGTATCCTAGCACTAAAATATCCCAGTACTTCTACGTCAGCAGCAGGGGGAGCTACTAATGCAGCAATGATACAAAACTGCTGTTGGGTTTCGTATTGCTTCGCTACCAGCAAATACCCCCCTTACCCGCTAAATGAATTACAGACTGTCTATGCCACAGGTAATAAAATGCTTCCAGACAGGATAAAGCATCTGTACACAAAGATGGAAACGGGATGGTTGTGAAATACTGCAAAATCTTACAGTATGTAAATAATGGGGAGGAAAGACATCCCTCCAGCGCTTTTTCATTTTCTAGAGTAAGAGAAAAATATTCCCAATTCTTTATTAAGAGAAACCAGTATCCTGACTAATAACTGAGGCACTCATTTAGTCCTACTTTTAAAGTAGTGATAATTTATAGTATGTCTTTGGAATTATCTCTTAGAAAAAAAAGTCATCTTTATGATGCCTTTTCTTTCAAAACAGCCATTCCAATGTTTCTTAAACAGTACTTCTTCCAAAAGAGGTGAAAATACATATTAGCTCTATTTACTTAAGACTTCTATACTTATCAAAGCAAAGGAAACTTAGTTACCAGCTTCTGCACAAGGAACCCATGTTTAAACTGGCATCCTGTAGGAAAGCAATGCCTTCATTGATACAGCCTCTTTTTGGACCACTTGTTCACAGTTTAGGTTGTTATGCTGCTCGTTTGCACAAAAAGACCTCAGGGACTCAGACTCAGAAGCAGCCCAAATCTGACTGCTTTCTCCTGCAAAGTTAAAAATTGTTCTATGCTAGCTCAGTTATAGGAAATCTTTTGGAGATGAGTAAATCTGCATCTCAACTGGTCCATTTCTGTTCAATTCCACAGCACTGGAACCCATTCCTTGATCCTCCATTTTCTGCAACTTTCCAAGGAAGTAGAAATGCATACACTTGTCACGACATATTGCTGCCACAAATATCCAACCATTTAAAAGATACAGGATACCAACTACTATCAAGTTTTCGGTGAAAATACTGTCACAGTATCTTCGATAACAGGCTGCACACTCTCCTCAACTTGTGCACTGTTTCCCTGTGTCTCTCCTACTCAAACAGGGGATGTTGCTGCCTGTGTGACCCTTCTGATCCAGCTGTATAGCTGCTGGGTCAAATTCAGCTTCCCTTTGCCAGCACAATGCTGATGCCAAGTGCAGCAATGGTTTGTAGAGGCTCAACAGATCTCTGAAGATAACTGGATATGGGTAGTGCATATATGCCAGGGCAGGAAGTCCTAAAACTTGAAAAGGTGAGGGTATGGAACAGCAGAAAAACACTCACCAGGATCACCTCAGACTGACTCCAACCCAACACAAATTTGACCAAGAAAGTATCTATCCCTCTTCAGCAAGACTGCCTACTGGGAAATGACAACCAGCAAAGAACAAGAGGGCCTGCTGATTAGGAGCTGTTCCCTAAAATCTACTCCTTAAAAAAAACGTCTACTCCCCTTACCAAAAAGTTTTAGTTCGTTGTAAAACATTAATTTATCATTGATACTACTATTAAGAAAGAATTAAACAGCAATATCCATAATTACTAGATGCTGAAGCTGATACACTGTTTGGTTGTTCCACCCACTGAGTATTGTAAGTTTTAGGTTAGATACTTGACAAAGATCAGAATGAAGTTTAATGCAGCCAACATTACACAAAAGCTCTCAATGATTTAAAACAAACAAACAAATGACACTACAGAAAGACATCATCAACATCTAACACTAAGCCAGTTAAAGCCCTTACTCTCTTAACTACGCAGAAAATAAAAAACTCCAAACTCTGAGTCAGAACACAAGGAATAACTTCTATGACTGATTGCCGAGCAACGGGTCAGAAATAAGAATTTCATTTTGCTTCTGCGAACACAACTCTGAGAAGCGTTCCAAATGCAGAGAGCCTGCCACGTGAGATCTGTAACAAAGATGTGTTAGACATCCAGCAGCAGTAGTAGAGTTAAACTGTGTGGCCAGTGAAGAAGCCAAGAAGAATCCACAAACTGCAACCCATGTCACACACAATGGATTCAGAACAGAAACAAGACAGTACAGAGAAGTATTTCGACATACCTTGAGCGCTGAAGACTTCGAGGAGAGGCAGGTTCATGACCTGCCTGCTTGTCAGCTATTACCGGCTGCTGAGGTGCTGACTGTGAAGCTGGTCCTTGTTTAACTCCTGGAGTAGCAACCTGAAAAGTTTAAAACCTTCATTAGGTTTCCTACACAGTAACTATCAGGAAAACAGGGAAGGAAGTTGATGTTGATGGAAGTTTCTTATTCTTCAAGAGGCTCTGTTTGCTTACTGTGCATTTCTGAGCTACAACAAGATGAAAAGAAGAACTGTAACTTATGAACGTATGCTCAAGTTACACTATCTGGAGGTTAAGATTTTCTCCTCCCATGTGTGTAACCCCTATCCTTTTTAAAGAAGGTGCAAGAGAGGAAGTGGCTGCAAAATTACTCATCTGCCTTCTCACCTGAAAAATCAAGCTAATAATTTTTCTCCTTCCCTATTACTTAAGAACTGATTCTATAGATCCATATAGACAAAAATTTAAGTCAGGGCACCTGTCTGGCATTTGCTGACACCAAGATGGTGTAGATTACCTGCTAGTGGTTATCAGAACCTCCAGATATCCTCTCTATTTCAGAAACAGACATCAGTGAAACAAACCAGTCATTCTTAAAATAACTCAGGATGCAAATTCATTTATTTAAATACAAACAAAATAGTAATGCAATCTCAAACCTACATTCAAAAGAAAAATCTACCTTTTAAGATTATCACAAAAAGCCAAAACAGTCTGAATAGCAGCGTTGGTAAAGAAAAAAATTAACATTACTGTAAGAATACACAGTGATTATCTCAGTTGAAATCAACAGAACTATACAGCTAAGGAAGATGGAATACCAGTAATTCATAAATTGATTCCTGAAAAGGCTAAATATCTTTATGAAGTGTGCAGCATGAAAAACTTTGCCATCTATGCCTATGTTTCGCTTACCCCGTGAACAGATGTAACAATTGAAATTGTTTTAACACAAGGAATAATTTCAAAAGGAAGTCTGGTTGCAGATATCACCATCACCCTGCAGATCTAAAGTAAGACACTAACTAGCTCCTTAGCTAGTAAAGAAAAAAACCAAAAAAACACACAATTTTAAAATGATTGTAAAAACCAAAAAACCAAAACAAACAGGATTCACTGGGAAAAAAAAAAAAACGCTATTAAAGAAGCTACAAATCCTCTTAGCTATTCCACCTTTTCCCATGCATTTCTGCAGGCACACAAACCAACTTCAGTTTAAAAGCAGTACGGTGTTTGTGCAGCCCTAAGGAACAAGCCTGACTTACAACCCATGTAACGTTGTCTCCAGAGCCAGCCAACATAGCTGCCACATGGCACTGGGCCCTGCCTGCACGGTACCACTTCAGTTCTACCTACACCTACTGCACAGAAGCACCTACACCAACCAGCCTGTGTTCTGGAACAGCCTCCTGGCACAGCACCACATCTGGACTAACTTACACTGAGTTCTAAGAGCAGGATAAGCTGACCTGACTGAAAAATCCCAACTACTAAAACAGTCTCCCCTTGGAGCTATAACCAAAGTTTGCATCTTGATATTGATTGCCAGAATGTAATTATGTGACTACAACAAACATCAAGAAAGCTCTTACTGAACTGGAAAATTATCTGCTGCTGAACCTGAATTTGCTACTTCTGGGACTAACAGTTCACATTAATATTTCAACATCTTTGTTGCTAGCACCAAACCCCAAAAAGGCTCATGTTGTCAAGTGTGTTATGATTCTTAGAAGGTCTGTTAAGTTACTCAAGGTGCCTTGAAAAAATACAGTTTTACTGCTTATATCCCAGAGTAGTAGGACTTAGAACTTTTTCACAGAGGGACGGGATAAAAACTTCTCATGTATGCAATATGTACAACACACAAAACAGCAGAGTTGCAATCTTCGAAAGAAAGCTGGATTAAAATAGAGCAATTTCAACTTATGTGCCTCAGCATGCTCACCAAAACATAGACATCAGCTGCAGAAGAGCTTATATATGAACACACACACACGTACACAGCAATAAAACATACAATACTCTACTTAAGAAAAGGTGAAAACCTTGATGCCAAGTCAGTGACTATAGGTAATCACAAAAGCTAGCCTGGAGTTAAGAGATCGTCATCACAAACGAAGCATAAAATTACCAACCCTTCCCCCACTCCATCCTGGAGTAGGATTCAGACCAACTCTTCTCAAACCTTCATTTAGCCTCAAAGTTTGCTTGAGGATACTTGAGGGAAGGCTTGTGTGCCCAAAAACAACTTCAGTTATACTGTTGGTCTACCAAGACACACTGGCCCTACTTAGAGCACTTGGCTTGCCTTCCTTTTCTCTGAAGAAATACTTCACCACTATAACACCTACTACACAGGCATAATGATGGAGATTATGGCGGGCACTGGGTACACATTTGTTTGCACAGTTGTAGGAAAACAACTGTGCAGTGACAATAAATACTAAAAAAGCTGTTTGTAAGACAAGGATAAACGTCTTGCAAATCAGAAGATACAGAAGATTGCAAAGGATTAAGATTCTGAAATCTTTACAATGTAGCTGATGACCAAAACTTTTATAAAGTAGATTCATATTTCAGGAGTGCAGAGATCAGAAGGAACCAACTTCAGACTACTGAAAGTAAATAACTTCAAAACAAACAAAAAAGCCAGGAAAAATCAACAAAACAACAGAAAACAACAAAAAAAATCCACACAATTATTATTTTTCTTATCCTAGGATGTGAAAACACCACACACGTTCCCTTCTTAGCTACAAGTCTGCTACATGATGATTTCAGTACTCGTTGGCTAGACATCAGATGTGACCACACTGACTTATTATGCTCTCTAAGGACAGAAAGACAAGTAGAAGGATTCGTACACATTAGGCTTTCACAAATCACTGCCAATCACCAAAAACCACCTGTGGGAATAATTGGTTTTCTTTATGCCCATGAAACAACTCAAGTATAAGAAAATTAGGTGTTTATATTCAAATAAGGAATGCAATCTGTCCTCCTGAAGATAAAAATATTTCTTTAAGGCCTTCAAACTACAAGAGGTTCTCTTCATAGCAGACTTTTGAGAGAAAGGTATCTCAGCTACACGCAAGGGTGAAAATAGGCAGAAAACAAATTTTAGGGGGGAAAAAAAAAAGTCACGCAAAACTGTTCCATTCTAAAGTCTATAGTCATACTTCTTACACTGATAAAATGTTACACAAGGTGTCCAACTGCTTCTTAACCTTCCTACAGTATTCACAGCAAAACACATTCTTTCCTCTGAGCAGTGATCAGCAAGAGGGAATCACAAAAAGAAAAAAAAACAAAAAAAAACCAACGTTCTTTTCTTTCACGTGCCACCTGCCACTTATCCAAATAAGAAAATCTGAAAGAACAAACATAAAGGGGGTAGGGAGGAAAGGGAAAATGATGCTACTGACCTTGTAAACACCTAGAACCAAATCTGAGACTGTGCCAAGGAAAATCAACTCGCTAAGAATTTTTCCCTCAATCCAATGATCATTTATTGGCTAAAGTACAAAGAACCGTATCAGCTGTTCCCTTTGTAGAAAGTTTTTATTTTCTTTTAAGTATGGTGCAATGCTGATCTCTTACTAATATTTCCAGACACTACTACTGCATATGATAGCATCTTAAGTGAATGCAAGATATTCTCCAAGAATAAACAAAAAAGTGTATTACAAGATACTAGCATGGTACTGACAAACTGACTACAGCTGCTTCCAGTTGTTTCCGCTCCTACTGAGAAAGACAACACGCATGTCATCATCCTACACGTAGTAGTCGGTACCTGAAATACACAGCATTAATACTTACTATTACCTCGAGTGGTTTCCTACTGCAGTATGCCATAAATCAACAGGAGCTTACCTTCTGCTGTGATGATACCGGTGGTGTAGTCATCAAAGGCTTAAGTGGAACGGTGTTAGTCTGAGGCGTGCTTATTCTGGGAGATACATATGATCTTGGTGATGAGGCATCAGATGTTAAAGACATTGGAGACTGATTAGATGGCTGAGCTGCGAAGAAGAACATTGTTTTTTGTAAAACCATATCTCAATGTGAAATACATTTTCTTCCAGTATTTCACAGTATTGTGTATTAGATATTACACAAACAGATTCCATTCAAAACAGAGGGGGAATAAACAACTGGAACAATCAAATATTCAACAACTTCAACTAAGGATCTGTATTTTCCCCAAACCATTCATTTCTAAAACCTGGCAGAAGTGGAAAGCAAGGAAGAGGCCTTTGTACAATGCCTTTTTACACTTGAAGAGATTAAATTAGTTTCACTTGTGATTTCTATTTCAGAGTGCTCAACTGAATTTAACAGAGAATGCACGAACACTATACTCAGAAATCCATTCATTCACTCTAAGCATCTAATCACCAAAACAAATGAACAGAACAACCAAAATCTCGTGTTTTACTTGTTAAAAGTTAGTATGTGTATAATACTGCTTATCTACTCAATATAAATGCTGAATGATTGTTTTGGTTTCAGTTTCTAGTATTAGGTCACAAACCAGAATGTACTAAAGATATCTGAAGTAATACCATGCCTAGAAGCTGAAAATTACTTATAAAAGTCTACAAATAACATGAGATAGAATTAACTTACTTTCAAGAATTCAAGCCTGCCTCAATAGTCACAGTTGCACAGTGTTACAAGGATGGGTGTTCAAACACTGAAGAGTTATGTTTAATATAATAAAAAACATTAAGTCTTATAAAGGTTCAGAATAAACTTCTACGTTTCACACTGCTCGTATTTAAGTTAGTTAACATACAGAGAAAACCCCAGAAGGCAAGACAGCAGTACATGTATCTAGTTACTTGCCAGCTGCAGGTTCCCTGAGTAAAGGTTTCACATTGTACCTTCAGAAAAAGAAGTCATTCAACATATTCTGCATCATGCGGCCAAAGATATGACTCAAAACAGCTTCTACAAGTTTCAGCTGTATCAGCCTTTATAAAATACAACTTCACTACTCTACATGAGTAAAAAAGATAACTTTTAATACCTTGCGTAGACAGTTGTGCTGCTTGAGAAATTAGGGAAGTGATATTGAAAGCAGATGGTCCAGCAGTAAGAATTTTATGGAGTATAGACTGCAGGGAGGCTTGTGTCACAGCTGCTGTTAGAACTAAAAGCAAACATTACGTTTTACTGACAATTCTAAGTTTAAGCTGTTAAATGCATGCAGCCAGTCTGAAACTGCTCTTCCGTTATCTTTTTCCCCACATCCATGACAAATCAGAAAGCCATGTGATCAATGGCATAAATTCATCTCGTGAATGCTTGGCATGTTTAATCAAGCCCTTTATTTAGTAGTTTAGGACATTCATTGGAAAAAAAAATCTTTTAAAAACTAAGTTCAATTCTTCAGCTTAATCTTATGGATCAACTATAATTCTTATACATAAAGATAACATTTATTCAATTTATTATTACAGTAAAGAAGAATAAGCTTTTTCAAAATGACTGTAATTTAAAAATGATGATAATAATAATAATGATGATGAAGAAATAAACCAGCATCACTTCAGCTCACTAAAAGGTTTCAGGAAAGTAGAGGGAAACACAGCTGCTGCCCAGGTATGCTCAAAGAAAAGCCTGGGAATTCAAGTTAGTGACTTTCCAATAGAATACAGCAGGACACATAACAGGACCTGTAATTTTTCAACCCAACCAACTACGATTCTCCTACTTTTTCAGTCTAACCTCGTGCAAATAAGCATTTATAAGAGCTCCTCCCAGCTCAGAACAAGAGACAATAACCTACTGGACTACTGATGAAACCACATTTGTTGATTAAAAGGAAACCAATTGAGATTTTTTTCCACAGAAACAACTGTTATGGGAAAATTCCTAAGTTTAAAGTAAAATCTGATCATTTCCATGGTTTACACTTTTAGAAGATCAAAGATCTCTGGGCACTACATGCAAATGTTTTGCCTCCTATTTAAATTGATGATCAGCGCAGAACAAATTGAAACAAAAAACCCAGTGCACAACACTTCCTCTTTCATTAAGTTGCCATGTGCAGAAATCCCAGTAGAAAAATCAATGATCAAAATGCACCACCTTCACCTGTTCTTGCAATGAAAGGCACTACACCTAGCTGTAAAAATTCTTCTAACAAACAAAGCCTATCCAGCAAAATTGGATTAAATGCACTAAATTTAGCTTGCTAGCAAAATTAGTGATACACCATCTTACTCAGTGAGGCCAACATATTCTGTTAAATAAAAAAAAAAAGATAAACAACTTCCAAAGCGCTAGAAGTTTTGGTATTTGCAAACACTAATAGGATGGCAGCTCAAACTACAGAAAACAAAGAACACTGCATAAAATAAACATGTGAAAAACTAACTAAACTTTGAGCAAGAGAATACTTGCACAGTTGATGCATCCCTGGCATCAATGAAAAACTCTCAGGTACATCAGAATTCACAAGCATATTAAACATCATCTGGCTAATTTTAAAAGGCTGAACAGAAAAGCAAGGTAACTAGCAACCCTCACTTCAGGTAGGGATTTACTTACTTTTCATTTAAGGTAATAGTGGAATTTCCTGCAATTTAACCACCCACAGTATACTAATGTGCATAAGTAAAGGATTACATGAACTTTAAGGAATCCTTACCTTCATTGATTTTGGATATATCTACGCTAGAATTATTAAGCTGCAATGTGGCTTGCAGAGCAGGCAGCAACTGTCGAAGGAGATTTGGGTCCTGAAGTAATGGAGGAATTGGTGACTGTGGGACAGGTGAGACAGGAACTGTAGGAGCTGATGAAGCAGGTGCAGACACTGGATTCAGTCCAGAAGCAGAAGATGTAGAAGGAGTTGTGCAAGAATGGGATACAGTCTTGTCCACGGATGTAGACTCTAAATAGAAGGCAAAGAGCAATTTTCATTTTCCTCAGTACAGCCTCATAACTCCTCACTAGCAAAATATTCACATTAAATTCAGAAGATCGAACTATTAAATATGATTATAAGATGAAAAGATACATACAAATATTCATGTAACAAAAACTGAAGATATTTGATAAATGGTGTCATTTGGGTTACTGAACTTAATATGTATTAGCCACACACTCAAAAATACTTTAGCTTCCAAGAATTGGATGGAAAGCTGTCGACACATCAAAGGCTTCCCACCCACCTCCAATGTACTCTGAATTATTAAGACAAACTCAAGCCAAAAATTCTTCATTAATGTTTTCTCTAGCAGTACATATCCTCTTGTGAAATGTTTTTTATCATGCACTCCAAACTTTCTTTGGAAGACATGCAGTGACAAAAGGCATTAAGAAGTCCATGGACTTACAAACAGATGGGTTAATATGTCAAAATCTGAGGGAGGGAATAAGATGTACTTCATTTACTCAGGAATTAGATTTCAAAAGCTACAAAAAAAGACCAAGTCTGTCATGTACAATCCAGCTACAAAAAAAAAATGCTCAAGATTATAGTTGGGGTGATAATTTGCACTAGAAATTTAAAACAAGAGCTGTTAGCATCCCCACCACACAGGGAAAAAACATCTGAATGTGTACTTGCTCATAATTAATTTCAAGCTCATCATCAGCTTGTTCTCAAACATAAACATCTATTTCCTTTACTTTCTTATTCTCTTTTTAGCAAGTAATTGCTTACATACGTGCTTAGTGCTTACGTTATTAGTTATATCATACAAGTTTAAATTTAACTTCATACAAGTTAAGTTAAATTGGGCTTAATTAGAAGAAAAATGCCATGATATAATCTGAGTTAATCAACAACTTTTAAATTTGACTTACAGTCAATATGAAAGTCTCTCCTGCATTCCAGTACCATAAGAAATTCTTTCTCTGAAAGTATTTCCACTAACTGTGGGCATACAGTCACTTCCAATACCCTTCCTCTTAGAAGCCTGGATCATCATACTTCAATTCCTGCTTCCCTTTCTCTCACGTCCTCCTTTCAACTCCACCTGAGGCCCTACAGTACCAAACAACCTGGATGACGAGTGGAAAGACGGGTACAGATCCAAGCTCTCATTGACGATGCTTGCCCACAATACTGAAGGCCTGGATTGGAAACGCACCTCAGATTGGGGAAAGAACATCAACACAGATTCACAGATAAACACTTCAGGTAAAAAAATCCAAATGAAAGCTAAAGTAACTGGGAGGGAAAACTGCACTCTAAGCACTTCTGTTTTTTTATTTGTTTGTTTTGTTTTTCATTTGGAGAGATATTAAAGGTAAGAAGAGGTTGACTTCTAGCAGAGAAGAAAAATCAAAAGGTCTTGTTTCATTCTACCGCTTGAGAACAAAGTCTCACACAATTCCTAGAAGCTGTAATTTTCTGACAGCCTGAATTACAAGTTCTGTGTTTGATTCTACATTGGAGAAGAACCCTAAAAAAAATTTAAGAGTGACTGAAGTGAGTACCAGTATGTAAATCCAATGGGATTATACTTCTCAGTTAAAATGGAAAAAAAAAAAAAAAAAAGACTTCCGCAGTTTCTCTAGAAACTTCATAGCAGGCCTCCAACACTGGAAATAGCTTTGTTGCTCATCTGCTGAGAAACCTAAACTAGAAGAAATGCTGAAGAACTCCAATGTGACTGCTTGTAAGGATGTGAAGGTCAGGGCACACAGACACAGCCTGATCTTTCAGGCAAGTTTCTAAAAAGACATAGCCTTGTCTCGTTACAAACACCTTTGGACAAAAGGTTGATCTGATTGTATTTGTAAAGGCACCTGGTCATTTGGACAGGAGCTTTCATAAGAAGAACTGAAAACTTGAAATAACATGAGGGGACAAGAAGCATTACAAAGACTGAAGAGGAAAAAAGAAGTGGTTACAAAATCTTTATACATTTTTCAGTAACATGACCAGAACAACCAACTACATACCAGCCCTCCCCATGAATGCACTGAGTCACTAGTCTGTTGCAGTAATACTGCATATAAAATCTTACAATGCAAAGGTGTTCCGAGTTAGTTTAGCAAAATTGCAGGAATTCAAGATACATCAGTAAGCAAGAATCTTATCACACCATAAAGTTTGGACAGATACAGATTCTGTTAAATGCATGTACTGGCAGACAAAGGCAAGGGAACGTGGCAGAATGGGGCAGGTAAGTGCTAGTAAGTCTTTCACCCCATGACTCTGAGAACCTTTGGGGGAGGGAAGGAGGGAGGAGAGGTGGCTGTGACGACCCTGATTGAAAAAGAAACAAAAACACCCCCAAAAGAACAGAAAATAAACCAACTGAAATCCAACCAAACACCTAAGCAACTACCAGAACTAATAGCTAGATGTACTTAATGCAAAGAATATTTCTTCACAGCTAGATTGAGTTCTTTTCTTGGCACTGGATCAGACCAATCATGTTTCTGTACAACCACTGGTTAAAAGAAGAAATTAACTGCTTTAAGCAAGGGAAATGCTCACTAATATAGTATTAATTCACACAAGCAGATCCAGAGCTTCAAACCATACCACCACAGCAAGCATTTCCAAGTATTTTTCAGCCACGCTGCAGTGTTGTACACACACACACACAAAACTGAATCAAAGGCAAAGATGAATGAGCAATGCAGTGGAGGCAAACCTTCAATGAGTCCTGACTCATTTCTCGTCCAAAAGGACTTAGAATCTGTCATACAAAACCACAGAATGCCAAAGAGCCTTCAGAAGTACTTGAGTTTGGAGAGCTTCTCCGCTACAAGAATACTAACCAAACTGACACAATCAAAATGATTCCTTTTGAACAATGTGGAAACACTGTCCTGCAACTGTACTACTGTGAAAGTTTTATGTATGTGTTAAAATACATCTATGAAAACAGAGTTTTTGTACAATCATATGAACTAAACACCTTGAGAAAACGATGTGGAAAAAGAAGTTCGTGGCCAACACTAACACTGTCAGCTTTTGAGACCATTAACGTTACAGAAACAGCAGTCGAGATGTAACAGAGGAGTACATCTCTGTGCTCATAACCATCTAAATGTGCACAGTACAAAGGGTACGAAGTTTTTTTTGCCAAACCAGAATTGACAAAGGTATGCTTGTGGAAGCATTTGCTCTTTTCAAGCAGTCTGAAAAGCCATTTTCTTCTCTACAATGGGAAAATCTTTCATGAAAAAACCTTACATGCTAAAAACTCTGAAATACAGGCCGCTTCTGTAAAAGTTGATTTTTAATTACCTTAATTTGGAACTATTTTATATTTGGAATTACACAGACCTGTCACTCTCATTTCAGATCTCAACCACCACAAAATGCATCTGAAGAGAACACAATACTGAGAACATTTAGATTTCTTTACAAATGTCAGTCTTTACAGCTCTGATACACTGGTCTGTACCTGAGTCAATACAGTACCTTGCTCATAAACAAGCTTCATTCAGTATCACTGCAAAATAAGGATTCTAGTTATTACCTAGGATGGCAGTCATTCCTAAATCTGCTTTTAGCTATTAATACATCAAACACAGATTAACTCTGAACCTAAGCATTTTTTTACAAGCAGAAAATTCAAATCTTGTGTCTGTTAGAAGTATTCTTAAAGAAAAGATCAACTATATTGCAAGGCCTGTAAAAGTATTAGATGATGATGAACTAAAACCACTTGGCATTGGACAGAATAACTCTGCGGTCCCTTCATTGTCAACAGCAACTTGTAAACAAATACACAAATGACCCTAATGACACATACAATTTCAGCTACTATCATGAAGTCCCAAATGAAACTATTCAATAAATAAAAAAAACAAAAAATAATTAAAACCGAGAGCATAACATCTGCTGTAATCTTTTCACTTATGGAAAATTTCATGACTTGAGCTCTTCCTTTAAGATCACTGTTCCAAAGCAAAAAACACCACCAGGGAGGGAAAAACCTTTTGACTTCAGGAGCTTTTAAAGAAAACTTCTAAAAGAAAAATCCAGCAATTCACTTTGTCTCAACAATATGAAATGTACAGCATGCTTTCTGAAAAAAACAGCAAACAAAACCAACAATGATTGGATAAAGCCTACGTACACTTTGACACCAAAACAAGTTTCTGAACCACGAGGCCAAGAGCTCAAGCTGTTCAAAAAACAAATGGGAAAACAAACTAGATGGCAAAGAAAAAACAATTAAGCTTGGAGCTTAACTTACAGCTGCATGAAGAGCTTAGTAAGTGGTTATACAGTAGAATGAAGCATTTTTTAAGACAATCATCATGAAGAATGAGCTTTCTGTCTATAATTACTCTGCTGGACTGTGACCTGTGATCACATCTTTTAGCCTAGAAGGAGACAAGTCAGAGACATAAGGCAGCATTCCCCACGACAAGAACCAATACGACAAAGGCGCAGGTTTCACAAAAGGGCAGCTGAAAGGAAGTAACTGGAGGCCACTGCTTGTCCCTGAAAAGTCATCTCAAGTCAGAGCTGAAACATTCCACTGGATATTCCAAAGCAGTATGGATTCCTAAGCAAAAAGGACAAGTAATCCTTTCAGAAAAATATGGCAGATTAATTTTGGCAGCTGCACCACAGAGTTCTCCAACGACAGCCTAGGGACAACAAGGCAAACGCTTCTATTCTCAAAGTTTGAGGCAGTAAATTAAAATGTTGCTGAATCTTGCTGTCATTAATCATGGTCCCTTCGTAACAATACTGTGCTGTGCCTCAGCAAAACAGGACCAGTGTACCTCATTCTGAGTTGTGTTTTCAGCCCACAATGTTTCAGATGAAAAGCAGTTTATCAGACCAGGGTTAACGCACAAGTGAAGACCCTGTCTCACCAGAGGCCTACCCAGCTCCATAGCGACGTTCATCTGTGCCTGCAGCACTCCTCCTTCCCTTGCCTGCTACTGCTGAGCTGCCCAGGCTCAGTGATCCCGAGGGAAAAAGGGAGATGCAAAAACGGATTTTCTGCATGCCAACTTGCCTCACAGTCCTCTTCCTGACAACACACAGGCTGGGATTCTCTAAACATCAAGTAGCTTTACAAGGTTGTTGTAGGTAGGTTGCTTCTTATTCTGTCATATATATTTGAAAAGATTTATTCCAAAGGTTTTTATTATTTAAATGACATGGAAATTTCCCACTTAGGGCTGACTGCATAATTTCCAAATTATTAATGTGACCCCTTGAGTGTTCCAATTAGCTTTTTCTATTAAGTTTTATTTTGAACAGTAGAACAAAATGCACTTGAAGACATTTGAATTCAGCACTTCATCCTTACTCAGCACATTTGTGAGCTGGAGTTAAATCTCTGCTCAGTTAGCAACAATCACATGTGTTCTCAGCATGCTCACCGTAGGGGGGAAATAGCACTACAAAATGTTCAGAAAACCAATGCCTTACTGCCCCATAAAGCTCGCAGCTGCTTTATTAATTAAACAGCCTGCAGAACAGCTCACCAAACTACCTGATTTACTGCTAATAACTAAGAATCGTAATGCATTCACCTGAAGTACTTATGTGTACAGTCCAGTGAGTGTTTTCCACCGAGTCCTCTGTGCAGTGTGAGTCACACTGAGCTTTTTAATTCAATTTCACCTATGAAGATTATTAAGCTACAGAAAGATACATAGATATTTTAAAAAGATGCATTTTGAAAATGTTTGGACAAATGCAGCCACTGCAACAACAGTAACTGGGCTCTCAACTGCGCTCAAAACCTCTGAAATACAAAAAATCCCAACCTGTACCCTGCTCATATTGGATCACTTCAGTCTCAGAGAAGCTTTTGTATTTTTAGTTCCACTGCCAAAATGAACATAACAGCAATGCTCAGCAAACAAGTATGAAACAGTGAAAGAAACCTCCAACAGTCTCACTAATGTAATTTTTTGCAACCACTGTACAAACTGAGCAATAAACTTAGAACTGAAAAACTCAGCCAAAGAAGATGCAGTGATACCAGGAGCCACGTTAATAACTGACCACTGAAGTCTAAGAAGTGTTACAAGTACAAAACAGTGGGTGCGGAAAGAGGAAGGAAGAAGCTCAGCCACCACTAACCAACCACTACAGTCTGGCAGCATCAGCAGCACAACCCACACAACCCTGCGCTGGCCATCCTGCTGAGTTCTGTTGGAGAGTTTTCACAGTACTGCTGCTAGAAACAGAAGTGCTGCTTGACTGGACTTGGAGGAAAGCTGTGAGAAGTACTCTATGGACAGACACGCTGTTAAGGTATGGACAGTACAACATTTCATTCAGTAAGTGAATAAGAAACACAAAAACATGTGATGTGCCCTACAGCCCAAAGTAGGAAAAGCAACCCCACACTTTACCTGCATAGAGCACTCACAGTGAGCACAAACAGAAGCAGCAGATTCTGACTGGAACATTCAAATGAAAGGGTAGAGGTCAAATAGTTCCCCAGGAACTCTCCACTACTGCCAGCCATGAGGGCAGAGGACTACTGCTAACAGCTGAGCTAGAGTTCAGCCAGGAATTTTATTCAATCTCCTTGCGGGACTACAACATACCCCTGCAGCAAAAGAGATTGAGCTGAAAGAAGCGTTGGTTTTTGGTGATTTTGTTTTATTTTTCATAACTATTACTGCATTTTAAAAAATACACACCATTAACAAAACTATTAAAACAGTGGTACATATGTGGCATATGCCATACGGCACACAGCCACCAGCAACACAATGACAAGAAGCAAGAACTAATTTAGCCAAGATACTGCATGTATTATTCAGTCATTTGGACCAAGCTCCCTTAGTAAGCAATGCTAAAAGACAGCTTTACCTCTTCTTAGAGAGAGAGAGGGATGGTACAGCTGGTGAACAGGAGAACAAAAAGCAAAAAAGGAAAAAAAACAAATCAAAGGAAACCAAAGGCTGTTTCCTTTACTACCATAAAAACAAACCTCCCTAACTACTTTCCTATTCTACAAAGATAACTTTAGGAACTTGTTTAAGCTGTCACAGGACGAGACTTTCTTCATTTTCATCACAATGAAACAATCACCAACAAAACAGCATACCTACAACAGCACAGGTTCACAGCCACATCTGGGAGAATGAGTAACTGAAGACAGCTATACAGAACCATTACAGTGTACAACAGTTTACTCCCTTTGTTTAAATACATGAGGTTCCATGGATATTACACTGGTCAAATTTCACGTTCAAATACCAAATACAAGTTTTAATAAACACAAAACAAGAAAAAGGCAAGATTACTAAGTGTACCCTATGAACAATCTTTTATCATAATACAAAATTGAGGTTTTTTTGTTTATGAAGGAGGAAATTCAAGCAATACACCAAAATTTACAAAGAAATTTTGAAGCCTAATTTTCTTCTACTCATTCAACTAACGAATTCTACTAACTCAACTGCTTACTAACTTCAAAACTGTGACTCACCCTGCCTGAAGTTCCCAAAGTGCTGCATTTGCTCACCTTTGGTGTCACAAAGCAGTTACATCAACTACTCATCATTATGGAATCTATCCATTTCATTCCTATAAGCTTAAATGGTCCCTTTATAGGAATACAGAAATTACATCATTATTGATAAGGAAGCATCTAAGGTAACGTGGATCCTGAGGTAAGATTCATAGTGGCAAGACTGCCCCACACAGTTACCTCTACTGCATGTACCCAACTGCATACACTAAGTTCTCAAACAAATGCCACATCTAAGAAATTCCAGAACTACCTGATAACACTTGTAGCAGCTGTCACAAGGGGAAAATCCCTTCAGTTTCAGCAAGACTCAGTTGCTCAGTTTAACCTGAGGCAACTAATAAAGGTATGCAGTAAACGGGAAAAGAATACCCAGCATGAAGTCCAATCAGACACCAAACAGGAATGAAACACATGCAAGAATGAAGTAACAAAGGGTTTCTTAAAGAACGTTTTAAAGATAGTACTGGAAAGAGAGAGGTTACGCTTAATATCAGGAAAAAAGTATTCTCAGAGAGAGAAGTAATGCATTGGCAAAGGCTGCCCAGGGAGGCAGCTGAGTCACCACCCCGGAGATGTTTAAGAAGCACACAGATGTGGAACTGAGGGACAAAGTTAGTGGGCATGCCAGTGGTGGGTTGATGGCTGGACTGGATGATCGCAGTGTTCTTTTCCAATCTTAATTATCGTGTGAATCTAAGGAGAGAATATTTCACATGGATGTTTTGCACTGTCACTGTTTAGAGGAGTGTATCAAACTGCACTCAAAGCAGAGGCTTAGCAGCTAATTTCTTGGTGTTCCGTACAAGAACCACACGAAAACCAGCACACCATTCTTCATGCTTTACAGTGCTCAACAGAAAAAGGCTCGCCTCCGTTACTCCGTATTTACCATCAACACTCACATTCCAAATCATGTGAAAACTGCTCAAGGTCTCATGAAAAATTCTTCATGTACAATTTTCTTACATTGCTAGAAATGTTACCGTTGGGAATTTTTGGATAGCCAGGAAAATTTCCAACTGCACTAAAAGCTGGAATTCTTTAATAAAGAAAACTAGAAGGCAAGAAAACAAATGCAGAGTGTAAGACCAACAGCAGACCTGAGGCTCAATGTGCTTCTCAGGACTGTATTACTCTTTCTAAACTAGGCATACTCACAAATTTCAGTATCTTTCCAAAATGAATCCAGTGTCATAACAGGTTAGTAATACTTAAAATTAAAACCCAAATCTTTATTAAAAAATATTTTTTTCCTCTCCTCAAAGCTCTGAAACACCTTTTTCTAACAAAATGTTACTCATTTCAATGAGCTTGGCTATATCAGAGTATCACTTTTCCATCCTCACAATGTTCTTTAGCATCTCTTCCCTAATAACAAATTAAATCAAATTAATATGTAGATTTTTGAAATTCACAAACAATGCACAAAATCCTCATCTTTGTTCGATGACTCTAAAAGTTTCTGGTGCACAGAAACACAAACTTTCAGCAGCCTTCGAGCAGCTGTTAAAAAACATACAAGTTTTGTAGCTTTCTGTAACAACAGCACTTCAGATTCACAGTGGCATTCCATTTTGTAAGAGTAGTTCCCAAAATATAATGGTCCAAAATGACTTTCAAACAGTGTGGCTACATCTATGCTAAGAACTCAAAAAATGGCAAACACCCAAAACAACATGAGGCAAGAAAAAAAGTTTGAACATATTACTAAAAGATGATCTGAAATAACAATTTGTAGAATAAGCCAATAAACAGTAAATACCACAAAATCCATTTAGAATTGTTTAAGAATTAGTAAGCTCATCAAAAAGCTAACTGGGTTGTAAGCATGCACAATCAACACAACAAGTACACTTAAGTTCTGGAAGTAACATTTAACCAGCAAAGGAAAAGAAATACCTGGTTTTAAGTACTACATGGAATTTCATTAGACATACCTTTCCTCTCTGTTTTCTGTGAAGGGATGGAAGATGCAGATGTAGGCAGTTTTGATAAAGTAGATGCTCCATTAGCATCAAAGGATTTCTTTGGCTGGTGATCAGATTGTAGAGAAAATGGACTAGGAGGAACAGTGCTTGGGGTAGCAGTTGGATGAACCACTGGTTTGATGGGATGTTGTACTGGAGTAGAACTACTGTGAGTCTCTGCCCTTGGCAGTCTGTAGTCTCTGTCATTGTGCCTGCTTGTTTGAGACAAAATATTCTGTGGGAGCATACTACTGGCATCACTAGAATGCTTGTCTTCCACTTTTTCAGGATTCCCCAAGTAATGTTGCATTAAGAAAAAAAACAAAGAAGAAAAATTAGAAACTTCTCTCTAAAATCGCATTGACTATGATCAATACAGCTGCACATCAATAACTATAGCTGACCAAACTTCTTATGATTAAAAAAAACTTAAGCAAATCAGCATCAAAAAAGGCAAAATTCAATTTTACTCACTGACAAAATGCATTTTCTGTGACCTTTGCTTGATTTAGAGCTCCAGTTAAGCACTGTGTTTTGACGAAGGGGTGCTTTATAATGAGTGTTACAGTCAAAGTTAACTTTTGAAGTCTCCTAAAAAAATCTAAATCAAAATCTATTATTTTCACTTATATTTAGCATGAAGAGATAATCTCTGCCCTTTTTCTTTTGTTCATTAGACATCCTGAGCATCATGTATAATTAAGTAGTTTCAGATTCTACCCCTCAAAGAATTCTCCTTCAAGTCACTTGAATACTGCCACAAAGAATGTACTTTCAGCTGGATGAATTCAGAAGACCATATCTGAAATGAGTGACTAGTTTGCATCTGTCACGTGCTAATGGATGTTAAAGTACACTGCACAGAAAATACATCAAGCAAATACTGAGCTTTTTTATCCTTGATTTTCATAAAACAAGTGGTTACTGAAACATGCAAGCATGCTATCTTTTTGTAGCATACAGTTTGTTCTAGCATGGCAATATGTTTTCACATATACAGAAAAGCATTCCTTTAACACACGTCTGCTTGGCCAAGTCCCACAGAAGGCGAAGAAAAACCACAATTTGGAAAAATAAAAGTTTGGTTTCTACTCTTAATCCATCTAGAGATTTATGCTACAAAATCATTAAAACTATATCAGCACACAGAAGGAATCTCACATGTTTCTAGGAATGGTTTGCACATTTCCTAGAAAAATTTGGCAAAGATTAGAGCTATATTCTCAGGAAAAAAGAAAAAAATCCAAGCCACAGAAAGTCATGGTTTGGGACTTGCTTTGCTAATAGTATTGGCGTGGCAAAAATACCTTTCAGTAGAGTATACAAGTTTCTGAAAAACCCTGATACCATTACCTATCATATTAGTTTGCATTTTTCAGATGTGAAATCAAGTTTTTAGAATTTTTTTCTGCTTTTCTATTTTCATGCTCAGAATATAACACTGACAAGTCTCAATAAGTGCAACACTCCAACCGTACTATCAGTTGTGCAGATTGTTTCAATAACTACCTACACAGAACTCAAATTAGGCAGTAAAAGCTGCAAGAAGGAGTACCATAAAAAGCATTACGAAACTGTGATTCTAGTAAATAAAAGTTGTTTTAAGGAACAACACTTGACATAGCTGTCTGCATCTTCAGTTTGGCTTTGTTTATATGAAGAGAGGAGAAAAGCAGCTTAGGAAATATTTTTTAATTCTTTAAGTTTGGAAAAGAGCAAAACCACATACTTCCACTGGCAAACCCACTGGCAGCTGTCGCCTGCATCACCTCTCTTCTGTAATCTCTATCTTTTGGAAAACTGTTAACTGACATTTTGCTTGCTTCTTTTTGTCTCTGCTCTCTGAAGAAAAAAAAAAACAAAAAAAAACACAAGTTAAATAAGAATTTACATCGCCTAACAATACTTTCTACAGATGCATAAGATGAATCGTTCTAAGAGATCATTGCTACAGATGAAGCTGGCGAACTCCAACTGTTGCTTCCTTACACCAGCATCTGTCCAAGCCCTCACCCTATCAGACGAGTTCAGCTCACTAACATAGCACAGAAAAACAACATTTCCCCTCCCCCTCCCTGATCCTCCTGGGATCACCCAGGCAGGGATAAAATAGGTGCTAGAGGTCATGTATGGGTGGTGGAAACACAAACTTGGACCACAGTCTTTTACAGCAGTACTAGATAAACTGAACTGCTCTATAAATGATGTTAAGAAGACTTTTCTTTATAAGTTGAAAACAGACATGTGTGTATATATACACACACACACACACACACACATATATATACCTTTCCAGCCACTCTTTTGGTTTCTCCCACTGTGAAACTTCTGTTCTGCAGTTGTAGTAGTACTTTTTGCCCGAAGAGCTGATGTGTTCAGACCAATCATCCGCAGAATCGTAAGCCTTTGAAATACAAACAGTGTTGGACAATAGACTACCCCAGAGTTTTAATACACACACTGAGAACTATGTCAAGTCAAGTCCTCATACTTGATACCCCTTATCACTGCTTTCCATTTAGATCACATTTAAATGCCTGATCCATTGCTGGTAAGCTATAAGATGTGACCCCTATACTCCTGCTGCATTCTACAAAAGTTTCTTCTGTTTTATTCTCACTAACCATGAAAAAATAGAAGAAAATAACAGTACACTTACTGGGACACAGCAATATCACAATTGATAACGCTAGTTCTCTGCAGCTTAAAATTTCTCAAAAAATCATTGCAAATGTATTTTCAATCTTTTCCTATGCTTTGCAAATTTATCTGTTCTGCTTTCAGTGCAATTTTTGAACAATCACCACCCTAACCACTAAAACTTAGTTAGATAATAAGGTGATAAAAAGTCACTACAGTGCATCTGAAGTAAACCTAGGCAAGAAAATATGATTTTACCAATAAAGTTCAAGGAAAGTATATATCTACTTTATTAAACAATCTCACATTTTAAATTCAAAACATGTAACTCAAACCTCTAGTGATTATCAATTAGAACAGTTTTACAACATTTCACAACTGCAGCTTGGATGCTTAAAGTGTTTATAAAAGAAAAACTGATGTTGGAGAACTCAATGAAAGAGGAAGCACATGTCTCCCATTTCAGATAACGCTGAAAGTACTATATATATATGAATGGAGATGAATACTAATCACAAATACTCACTCCATCAGAAGTTTTGCTTGGATTATTGCTGGGATTAGAAGAATGCGAATTTGAACTATGAAGAGCACTGTGGTTATGTGAATTTTCTTGTGGAGAGTAACTGGTCCCTAAAAGGAAAGAAAAAAAAAAAAGGAAAAAAGAAATACTTTACCACATATGTTCTCAAAGAAATTACACATCTGAATTCTGAAGAGGCAAAAAGCAGTGAGGGCATATCAGTCACCTGTATCAAAACATCAATCAAATGTGAAGGGTTTCAGAAGACATACACACATATTTCTTCTGTTGCATATAAGGTAAAGCTCCCTTTGACTCTCCAGTTACAATAATGTAGCTTGCACTACTCTTATTCTCAAACTTTATCCCATAAACAAAATACACAGCCTTTACCATTATTTTATCAGTATGCTGACAGAGTCCTAACGTGTTAATTCAGAAATTAGAAATCATTTTATCCAAAACATTAAGTCAGAAAGTTTAAAAGGGTTTCTCATTCGCCCACTGTGTTTGATATACAGAAATCACTTTTCAAGTTCACTGAAGCAAGGTGGTTTTCTTCACCCTTGAGTTCCTTTGTACCTGGTCCTACGTAACTATTTCTATTTATGAAAATAGAATAAATTCAGTTTTCCTGCAGCACAGACTCTGCAATACAGCATATTATAAGCAACATTTCTCAGAGGCTCACACAGTTCTGGACCCCAAACAACTGTTTACTGAGGTCACCTGGTTTTCTTCCTTGGAACAATTGAACTAAAAAAATTTCTCACTTGAGCAATGAGAAAAGAGAGAACGCAGCATTTTTTAGACTTACATTTGTGTCTACACTCAATCACCAACTAAACATTAACTCTTCTGATTTCCAGTTAAATAAGCTCCCTCATTTGCCCTTGGTGAACTTCGTATAGATGTCTTGCTCTTACAGACTCTTATTCCTTGAAAAATTCTACACAAGTCTCTTCAATTTTTCCATTCTTCCCATTTTTCTTCCACACCGTGCTAAGAAAAATCATTTTCTTATAGATTTCAAGGAGAAACTAAATACTCAAAATACATCAGCACTGACCTTATCTTATCTGCCCTCCCAAGTACGTAACTACTACTACAACAGGAACTACCAGCTTCACATACTGTATCATAGTTTAAATTTGAAATCAGAAGGGTCTGCAAATACCAAGAACTAAATCTCATGAGTAACCACACCAAAGAATCAGAGCCTGATACTGTTCTAATAGGTGAGAGTGAACTGAGCCATTAAAATAAGATTTTCTAGGACTTTGAGAGCTCATAAGCAGAAAATGATTTATTACAGTGTATCAGACATAGCATAGGACAGATTATTATACAAATAATGATTTTTGATCCTTCTGACTATGCAAGTGTTGACAAAATTACTACAAAATTCTCCACCTCCTCCTCACACAGGACAAAAAAAGCAGTCAGTCACAGGAGCAAAGAAATATGCTATGACCAACGTGGTTCCAACCCTACAAAGAATAAAGACAAATTTGCACACACTAGTTATTGACCACCAGAATCATCAGCAGTTCTAAACCCTCTCCAGCACTATTTCGGCTAGCAAGTGTATGTCACTCACTCACTTTAAAAAGTGCATGGCAAGGAAAGGAAAAAGGACATCTCCACAAGTACAGCCTTCCAAAAGCAAGAGTTAGGCCCACACGAATGCCATCTTGTGCACTCAAGGCCAGCAGAATGAAACTTATCATTGGGAGGAGTCTTTTCCAACTTCGGTGATTCTGTGACTCTATCCTTAACCTTTACAGAATGAGACAGTGGTTAAATATTTCTAAATAAATTATTCTGTTAACAGTCTTCATCTATTTACTGTTCCCCTCACAAATTCTACTGAGATAAAGTTGTTAAATGTCTCTGTGTATTTCTGTAGGCTGCTTACCACAGACTCATTAGTTAAATTCTACTATGAGGTAAAACAACTATCTCCCTTTTATAGGGAAAAAAAAACGAACAACAAAAATGAGATGCACCAGATGTTTTTTTAAAACAGTTTGATATCATTCACTTCAAAATTTCAGAAACCATCCACACAGCCAATTTACTGTAATCCCGTCCTAGAGGTGCAGTTACATTACACTTCATTCAGCTCAGTCAAGATGTTGTTAGTGACTTTCTAAATACACTGCCACATTGAATACTCCATTACACATTTTCCCAACGCGAGCAAGATGGCAACATATGCATTAGACCACTAAGATCTCTTAAAACCTGTTCTACCCAACCCTAAATAGACCCCTCAAGCTCACTGAACAGACATCCAGCCCCTCTCAGTCTCACAGCTCCGCAGTTTCCTTTGCATCTCCCACTGCTTCCGAGGCTGTTCCCAGTCCTGGCAGTGAGTCACGAAGCCCCTCAGCAGTACCTGAGCTGCTGTGGCACTCCCACTGCCTACAGCAGCCCCGGCGCTGCTCTGCAGCAGTTTCTTCACAAGGGCCCCTCATGGCTTCTCCAGCAAGATCCCACCTTGGGTCATCAGGACATGCTGGTCAGGCTTTGGAACAGCAAAGCATAATTCCACACCTGATAATGCCTAGAGCTATTACAGAGCGCAGTTAAAGGCGCAAGTTTTCCCCTCAGACCTCCATTTATTTTTACGGTTAACACTGCTCTACACTTAGATCAGTGCCAGAACATAAAGGGAACGAGCATGAAGGGAGCTGCCAAAATGATGTTTGCTGTTAGAAAGCTTCCAAGAGTGAAGCAAATGCTCTGAAGAATAAGAGTTTTAGACAATTCATACAAATTAATGGCTTAAAGATCCACCAAATTAACTGCAGACCAAAACCTTGTAACCTCTCAAGGAATTCTGGCAGTCCAGCCCAGCAAGCACTGCTAGCTCAGAATTCCATAGAAAAACAGCGCAGGAGCTTCCAGAGTTTACTGTGTGAAAACTGTTGGCCAAAAGTAATCACTATGTGGAAGCCTACTTCAAATAAGGAGGAAGGTTCCTCTTACTGGTACACCAGCAATACCCTTAGCAGTATCTAATCCCAATACATTTTATATGGCTGTCTGTGCTGCAAGTGCATGCATGGCAACTTGTTCCTGAGATCCAAATCGCAAAGGCAGGATAGCTGAGATTACTTCATACCCCAGAAAGAGGCCTGCTAAGGTAGACAGAATTCTAGCACCCTTTGAGATATTCCCTTGTAACATTTTACTGTTTTTATCTATTTGTTGCATTAAAAAAAAAAATGCACAAACCAAAAGAAAAGAAGAAGAAGGATCAAGAGGCTTGTGCTTTTCAAATACCTGTTAGCACATCCTAGAATTTAACAATAGTTACAGAGCTTTCTATGGACGTATCTATAGCACCATCGCTGTGACTTTTCTCAGCTCAATCATTATTTTGGAAGCAGTTAAATCCAGACAGGGTAAGGTTAAATTATCATCATTTTCTTCAAGGTTTTTTTTTTTAAAAAAAATAAAAATAAAAAAATCACATCTTCCTCACTCATGCATGAAAATCAGCACAAGTACACAAAGCATGATTCTGGGAACCAATTCAAAAAATAGGCTGTGACTTAATGCCTACTACAGATTGAAAAATTCAGTTATGCCAAGATTCACTTGCACAATTTTTATTAAGTGCTCTCCAGACCCAAATTACTGAAGCAAATACAGTCTGAGCTGCAATGAGGTTTCAGCACCATGCTGGACTTGGAAAGCAGACAACGCAGGGTGAAGAAAGAATATCACAGCCCACTGCATACCTTCAACTTTGTCAGTAATTTTCACATTTAACTGATGTTTCCCCTGACACCACTTCAACTCAGGGAAATTAAGAAACAAGGATACTTTGAATTGAAGATTAGACTGCTCTAATAAGCACCTAATTTTTTTCTCCCTCCCCCCACCGTCTTTCAAAACAAGCTGAAACTTCCAAAAAAACTCATATTAGCAACTGCAACATCTAGTCATAACCACCTCAGACACCCAAGATTTTGGCCAGGCACAAAGAATAAGCTGGCAGTAGCTGCAGCAGGATACTATTGCACGGTACTGGACTATACGTTTCCTAACTTCATGCAGTCTAACATACACAGAGCGCTTAGGCTCCCAAGATACTTACTCTGTAACTCTTAATACTGTAACTCTTACTGTAACCATAATAAGAAGTATCAGTGTAGATAATGCAAACAAAAGTTTACAAATGCTTACCAGCTGGGCAAAAAGCACTAAAAATGCTCCCTAGCAAAAACCAGTGCTGCAGCTGAACCTCAAGGCCAGTCCTTTCCCTTCACTGTCTCCAATGCTGACAGGGATTCAGGAAGGGATCTGAGAGTCTTCCGTGCTCAGAAACCAAGCATTTGGAAAGAAATATGGGGCAGCAGAAAAGCAAGGAACTTCATTCAACTTACTTATACTCATATACAGCTCAGCCACAATCCTTTCCATCTCTTGGCTAGTATGTATTCAAATGTGTTAAGCTAGAGACACTACTAGAATTTGAACTTCCTTAACAGCACAGACAGACATTAATTATTTGTCGTCAGAAAAAATGTAACAGCATGACAGTCAGTGGTAGTGACATTGTACAGAGATAACTAAAACTTGTTTAAGCATTGAAAAAAGCCTTACCTAAGTACACCCAAACTAAGATGTCTGAAGTGTATTTCAGCCTCCATCTTTGTTAGTCTGATGGAGGTCTCTGCAAAACACTCGCTGAAGTTCTCCATATGGGAGGGAATAAAAGTAACATAATGGGAACGCAATACCCAAGCCTCAGAAGTAATTGAACAGCCGATCACAGCCATTTTTATTTGCTGCACATAAGACAATATCCTTTTTTTTTTTTTTTAGTGCATTTTTATGTGGCCTGCTGTGTTGAAGTAAAATATGGCTGCCTTTCACAAGTGATTAAAATTATAAAAAAAATTTGCATTTTTCTAGCAGAGCAACAGCCTCAGAGAATATACCAACTGGTCAGTAACACCTTCCAGAAAATCATAACACACAAAACTGAAGGCACAGTGCTCTGCCAAGAGAATGTGAGCCTGATCACTCTGCTGTCCAATTAAATACTCATTATATCCTTCAAACCGAAAGTTTTACACTGCGAGCAAAACAA